TTATAAATAAATAAATAAATAAATGTAAAACGTAAAACTATAAAACTTGTAGAAGCTAACATAAGAGCAAATCTGAGTGACCTTGGGTTTGGCAATGAATTTTTTAATTTGACACTAAGAGCACAATCCATAGAAGAAAAAAATGATTCCATTGGACTTCATTAAAAGTAAAAACTTCAGCTTTGTGAAAAAATATTAGATTGAAAAGATAAACCACTTCTCCAGACTGAGGATATTTGCAAAACATATCTGATAAAGGACTGGTATCCCCAAATATACAAAGAGTATTTAGAAATCAACAATAAGAAAACAAACAACCTAATTCAAAAGTGGGCAAAAGATCTGGACACCTCACCAAAGAAAATATACAGGTTGCAAATAAGCATATCAAAGATGCTCAACATCATATGTCATTAGGGGATGGCAAATTAAAATGAGATATCATTCCATACCTTTCCGAATGGCTAATATCCACAAAACTGATAATACCAAACAGTGGCAAGGATAAAAAGCAACAGAAATTCTCATTCATTGCTGATGAGAATGAAAAATAGTACAGCCACGTGGGAAGACAATTTGGTAGTTTTTACAAAAGTAAACATTCTTACCGTGCAATCCAGCAATTGCGCTCCTATGTACCCAATTGCATTGAAAAGTTACATTTAGGGGCACCTGGGTGGCTCGGGGGGGTTAAGTGTCCAACTTTTGATTTTGGCTCAGGTCATGATCTCAGGGTCGTGAGATCGAGCCCCGTGTCAAGCCCTGTGCTCCGTACGGAGTCTGCTCAGGATTCCCTGTCTCCCTCTCCCTCTGCCTCCCTCCACGCGAGTGCGCGCACTCTCTCTCTCTCAAATAATAAATAAAATCTTACAAAAAGAAAAGTTACATCTACATGAAAAACATGTGAATCTTTATACGAGCCTTATTCATAATCTCTAAAACCTGGAAACAACCAAAATGTTCTTCAATCGGTGAGTGGGTACACAAACTTCGCTATATCCAGACAATGGAGTATTATTCAGCCATGAAAAGAAATGAGATATCAAGCCACAAAAAGACGTGGAAGATCCCTCAATGCCAGTGAGCTTGGGGGGACAGTTACCTAGGTCACCGGAGGGCTGGAAATGGAGGTACTGAAGCCTCAGCAACCAGGCCATTCAACCTTGGTAAACATTCTTTTTGAGGACCTGCCTACATTGTTACGGATGCTCTCCTGGACTCTGATGAAACCCGAGTATAAAACACTCGATGGCATAGCAAGAACTCAGCCTCTTTCTCTGCCCTGGAAGGAGCTACCTCCTCAGAGAAAGTAGCAACGACTGTGAGGTCCCACAGAAAAGCTGAAGGACACGGAGAAGCTGGGCCACCACCTGCCACGTCTGCTCTTGCCCCGTGGCCACCTTGCTCCCATGAGATCTACCCCTGGCTAACTCGATGTGACATGGGGGTGTACGTTTGACTATTCTCTTCCAGGCAGTCTAGTGTCCCCACGGCCCCGCAGCAGGTTAGGGAGGCGTCAGATTTAAAGTGGGAAGGGAGCAGAGGTTCCAGGTAGGGAATGAGGCTGCTTTCCAACCAAGCTCTTGTAGCGCAGCCCGCCGGAAAGGAGACGGCTGAGTGACAGGATTGAGAGATGTCGCCTGGGGCCCCAGCCTGGGGCGGAGGGGCCTCTGCAACAGCTGGACACTAGGAAGGCCTTTCTTACAGGCTGGAAACAGGGTGGCCGCGGGGGCAACCACAAGGCACCTCCAATGACAGAGGTTACCGGGAGCTGGGGGCGGGCAGAGCCCTGGAGCTGAGGGGCCACTACGGAACCGTCACGGCCTAAGGACAGCCAGGCAGCTGGGGCAGGAGGTGGGCCTGGCCCAGCACTAGCTTCGGTTTGACTCCCAAAGAGGTGCCCAGGGTTAGAGCTAGGCATGCATTTGTCGCATGCTTCTGTCCCTGCGGCTGACATCTCTATCGTCCGGGCTGAGGGAAGCTGGGGAAAGATGCCCCATCCCATCTGAAGCCCAGAGAGGGGGTGACTTCCCTAAGACACACAGCATGTTATAACGGAGTTAGACCCAGGACTCAGAAGCCATGGCTCCCTGTTCTGGACTGCCTCCCTCCCTCCCTCCTTCACCCCTTCGTGGGGATGCCCAGTGGTTAAACCATGTTATGATCATGGCAACGACACCATGAGATGAGCACAGTGGAGGACTGAGGGCGGAGCAGAGGGAGGTCTGCCCCGGGCAAGCAATGAGGGCAGTGGCGTCTGCACGGAGTTTAAAAGCAATAATGAAACCTCTAAAAGTCGGTCTGCTTTTTATTATCACTCTGCACTGGCAGTTCTCACCGAAGATGGCAATGAAATTACTCCTCCCAGTCAAAATCTTTCAGCAGTCCACGTTCTAAACAATCACTGCGGTTACCGTTAGGCTTCATATGAGATTAGTACGTTGTAAGACAACATTAACTATGATAAACACTGGGTTCGACGTGGAAGTTAGTCCAGAAAACTTCATTGTACGCTTGGCTCCCAACACACCCAGACTCAACTACTACAAGTTTGGTAACCGTTTGGAAGGGTTAAACTCAACTTCGGCCACTGGTGCTCCATCCGGTGCTCCCCATACCCCTGTATGTAACAGCAGGTGCGGGACAAGCAGCTCCAGCTGGGTGACCTCCCCCCCCCCCCCCGCCGAGAGCCAGAAGCTGGGCTTGAGGAGCCTCACGCCGGCTTATGTGCATCACACACTCTGAACATCCTGGGTGTGCTCTTCTGCAAGTGTTTCTTAATGTGCTCTTTTTCCTTTTTACAATAATAATAATAATGATAATAATAATAATGTGACTTAAAAGTATTAATTCATTACTGTTTCCTTTTCCTATTTACAAAAGTATAATTTTGTATTAGTTTGTTAGTTTTCACTGCCACGATTATATATGTGTGTGTAGTTCAATAAAAAAACTTTCACTATCTGCTTTTCTTTTCTGCCCATTATCCTTATTATTCATTTTATTTTGGATTATTCATGTTAGTAGTTATGCTGCTTAGGGAGGGGAGGGAGGGAATAGCTGCTGGGTGCAGGCTCTGTACCAGGTTGTGCTCAGCCCTGATCTCCCCCGAAACTTGATGTTGACCCCAGGAGATGGACTTTTGTAGCCCATTTTACAGGTGAGGACACCAAGGCTCAGCGACGGGGAAAATGAACCCAGGCTTACACAGTTAATAAGTGGCAGAAGGAGGATTCAAGGTCGGCCTGACTGCAAAGTGCATGTTTGAAATGCCAGTGAATATTGGGACCCTGCAAGGAGCAACGCACGGGGGCGTGGGCCGTGGCGGTCAGGGAGAGCTTCTCAGAGGAGGGGGTGCTGGGGAAAGATGCACACAGGGGAGGGCAGTGAAGCAGGAGGATATGTGAGGTGTCAGGGAATGGCGAGTTTCCAGGCTGAGCTCTGTCACTCCCTGGCTGTATGGCCTTGGACAAGTCCCATCTCTGCTAAGGCCATGGTGTTTTCTCTCTCTAGAGTTTTCTTTCTTTCTTTTTTTTTTTTAAGATTTTATTTATTTATTTGAGAGAGCAAGAGAGCACAGAGGGAGAGTGAGAGAGAGAAGCAGACTCCCCGCTGACAGAGAGCCTGATGCGGGGCTCGATCCCAGGACCCTGAGATCATGACCTGAGCTGAAGGCAGATGCTTAACCAACTGAGCTACCCAGGTGCCCCTCTCTCTGGAATTTTCAAAGGCCCAGGGTTCCACATATCGGGACGAAGACAGCGGTCTGGGCAGTGAGCTTGGCTGGTGAGTGAGTCTGACTTTTCTCTGCTCCATGTCTAAGAAGTGGACCCCAAGGTCCCCTGGCCCAGCCCAGCTACACTCTTGGAGGTCCATGTGGCATGATGGTTAAGAACATAGGCCTGGGTACTGGACAGGCCTGGCTTTGAGTCCCAGATCCACCATCTCCTTCCCCAATGAGTGACCTGGGACAAGTCCCTTCTTGTCTCTGATCTCAGGGTCCTAAACCACAAAGTAGGATCATCCTATTGACCTCCAAGGGTAGTTGTGAGAATTAAAACAGCAATAACTGATATGTATTGGGCTATCCTTATACGCCAACGCTGTCCTAAGAGTATTATACTGATTTGTTCATTAAAGCTTCCCAACACCTCCGTGAAGCTATTCTTTTCGTTTGCAGATGGGGCAACACAGAAACAGAGTGCTGATGTTACTTGCCCGAGGTCCTCACTCTGTTCTGCTTAGCCTGGTGCCGGTCCCGCAGGAAATGGTAACTCCTCCCGATCTAGTTCTGAAACACTGGCCCCACGTGGGCATCTTAACGTTTCTGGAATGAGGATGTGCCCCACAATTGATGTCCAAGAAACAGGCCAGTCAGCGGGCAGAGGGTGATTAGGTGTCCTCACTGTCTGCTATCTGGCTTCTCAGGTGGCTGCAGTCGAGCCTGATGGAATTTTACCAGACCAGATCCCTAATTATCACTTAGAAAGACTTCTAAAATGACGCCACATGGAAACATAAGGCTAAGTGTACAGAAGGCCATCGCCAGCCAGGCAATGCAATTAGAAGTACAAATTGCCAAATTCATCCAAAGAAAGTTTAGACTCTGAATGTGAAGAACTTTGATCAAATCCCCAAAGGAGACAATCTTATATATAAAAAAAAGCTGTTATTTAACTGGATATAATATTTTCCTTTAAAAAATTATCTTACTATTGATGGTGTCGTAGAATCAAGTAAATCCAGCAAAACAGTCACTATTCTTCCGGTTGTAAGCAACAGAAAACCCACTTCAAACCAGCTGTAAGTGACAAAGGTGTGTATTGGCTCCTGGACCTGAAAAGCCGAGGGCGGTTGGCTTCAGGCACAGCTGGACTGGAGGGATTGAGCTACATCAGCAGCCGGATCTCTCCGCCCCCAAGCTCTGCCTTCTCTGTCACAGCTCCATTCCCAGCGGAGGCAGGATGGCTGCCAGCCAAGTCCAGCCGCCAACCCTCCCAGGTTTTATGCTTCCAGATTTCTCAGCATTTGAGACAGATCCTGAACCTGACTGCTGTGGACTGGAATTGGGTCACATGACTACCCTGGACAGCTCAGGAATGGAATGCAGGCATTTCCCTGTCTGGTCACCTTCCTCCCCATGGAGTCAAGGATGGAGTCAGTTCCACTCACTGCACTGGCTGAGGTGGAGGAGGGAGGCTTCCCCCCAAGGAAACTAAGGGGAGGTGGATGCTGGGTAGCAGCCGTACTTGGAAGACTGTAATTGCTGGTGATTGGAAGGTTCAGAGAGGTGACTCCTACCGGATCATCCACCTGACAGGTCAGGGGATCCCAGAAAGAAAAAGCACCACTGCTGGACCACCTGTCAGAGCGAGAAGAGTCCTTGGAGGTCCCTGGTGTGGCAGGAATGGGAAGCTAGAGGCCCAGAGAGGGGGAATGACTGGTTCAACCTATAGGTGGGAATGAAACTAGAACACGAATCTCTTGTACCTTGGTTCTCCATCCCGTGCTCCCAACTGGCCTGTGAGGGCCAAAGTGGGCTCTGGAAGGGGGCCTCCAGCTGCTTCATTACTCTTGAATGAGAAGCCCCTCCACTTCTCCTGGGACTTTCTCCCAGCAGCCTTGGTGGAGTGTCTTTGACCAGTCTCCTGACACCTGCTCTCTGGTCCCCACTGCACTGGGGTCTCCCCGTCTGCCTCAGAGGGAAGGGAGACGGGTGAGAAGTGCCCTAGATTCCCACAGGCATTCCCAGTCGTGGATGGCATCCATCTAAGGCCTTGATCTTACATAAAATGCAGTAAGCGCAGCCCCAGGTTGGTCCCTCTACCAGCTCCAGCTGCCCCATTCTTTCTGGAGATTCCGGAGCCACCACCCTCCAGCCAGGCTGGGCCTGTCCGGGTTTTCCGTGGCCCTGGGCTCCAAATCTTCACTGGATCCGATTCTAAGAAACGTGCAGTGTCTCCACATCCTTGTGTTCAAAGCAGGAAACCTGTAGAGCCTGAACCTACGAGCCAGGCTGTCTGCGAACTTCTCTGTGGGAGGGGCTTGGGTGCTGCAATCTGATTGGATGCAGGAGGGGGCCTGTCTTTATGCTCAGTGTGCATAAGCACATTTTATCTAGAGGGTGCGATTTGGCTGGGAGAAGGGCCTCTGATGGAGATTAGGAGGGGTTTAAGCACCCATCGGTCCACCCCATTGTCATCATCAATTTAAATTAGAGGAAGCCTACTTAACTCAAAGACCGGGCTCCAGGGTCAGAATCTAGGCCCCTGAGCTGGTGGGGAAGATGGGGTGGGGCGGGGCGCACGGACACGATCTTCCCAGCATGGCAGGACTTTACACGGGGATAACCGTGGGCTGTATTTATGACATAGAAAGCTGTCAATGATATAAGTGAAAGGAAAAAAATATAATAAAGTATATACAGTGTGTGTGTGTGTGTGTGTAACAATGGTGGTTAAGAGCTCAGGATCTGGAGCCAGATCGCCTAGGATCAACTCTCGCTTTCACTTCTTCCTTACCTTGGGCATTTTACTTAAACTCTGTGCCTCCATTGCTTCATCTGTAAAATAGGGCTAAATAATAGGGTGAGGTGAGGATTCCAGGAGATAAGCCACGGAAGGCGGTGACGCAGGTCCCGGCAGACAGGGCCCCAACGGTGGCCGCCGTTAATCTCGTTGGTCCCCGGCGCAGGGGCCTCGTTCGCACAGTGCTGGTGGCGGGGAGGGCCGCACCCTGCCTCCGGAACCGGGCTCCCCGCTGCTGCCGGCTGCCCATTGTTGCGCCTTCCTGCTCTGGCCCGCCTGGGAATCCGCCGGGGCAGCTCCGGCCCAGGCGGGGAGGGCATCCGGGCCGCCGGCGCCCTCCCCCACCGTTCTGGGCGCCCCGCCCCGCCCCTCCCGCCGCGAGGGCCCGCCCGGGGACGCGAGCACTGGACTGCGAGTCCTGGGACCTCAGTCCTACTCGGCCCAGTGTCCTCTCTGGCCACACGGAAGCCAGCGGAGAAGCCCACCCCCTAGGGCCGCGTAAGGGTTAAGTGAGATCACGCGCGCACCAGGCCGAGCTCCCCACCTTGAGCCCGTCTGTCCTCGGGTCCTGTCTTGCTCGGGTGGGCTTTCAGAATGCTGCTCGCCGCCGGGGGCCCACGGGGGACCCATGCATCCCCTGGTGTCTGGGCCTGGTTGGATTTCTCAGATCATGCTGCCTCCGCTACCCCGCGCAACGTTTCCCCAGCACAAGGCAAAAAGTGGGTGAAAGGGCTGGGCAGCTTTCCCAGGCTGGCAGCCGCCAGAGCCAGGATCGAGAGTCCTTGCATCCCGGCTCTGCTGCTGAACTGCTGTGTGACCTTGAGCAAGGCCTTCCTCCTCTGAGCCCCCAGCCTCCCTCCTCCAGCGGCAGGGAAGGCAGGTGCGGCCCCTTGCTCGGGCTGCCCCCTGGCTGGCTGGCTGGGGTACCATGGAAGGTGTGTGATCCCCTGGGCTCGGTTTATCTTATCTGCAAAACTGTTACCCCCCGCGTAGATTCAGCAGATAACGCCTGGTCTCGGGAGGCTTCTTTCTTGTCTTTCTGCCACCCTCTGCCCCATTTCTCTGCTCCGAAGGGAAGTATGCCACCTGGGCTGGTTACTTGAGTCTTCCAAGGAGGAATTCAGCCTCAGCATTGTCCCTCCGCACTGGGCAAGACCAGGACCCGCTTTTGATACGGGTTCTCTCCACCTCCATCCTGGGAAAGAGAGACCTTTGCAGCCGTAGGTTGGCTTTGAGTGCCCCTGGTGCAGGAGTGAGCCTCCTGTCAACAGAGGGAGTTTACTCAAGATTTAAGGAGTGGAAAGGAATTGGGGCTTACAAAACCTAGCCCTATTCTTAGAGTCCCACACTCTGCCCTCCAGGCATGTGGCAGGATGACACTTCTCTGTCCCTTTGAGATTGGGCGGGGTCATGTGACCAGCCATGGCCAAGGAAGTGTGCGAAGTGATATCTGTCACCTCAGGTGGGAGCACTATTACCAGGTGGAGACCCTCTCCTTCCGCCGTGAGGTGGCAGCCGCTCCATGGCCCTGGGCCCCGGAGGGAGAAAGGGTGGACAGCCCTCCAGCCCTGTAGGGACGGGCCACTTGCCTGAGAAATGACTTCGTGTCAGGAGCCGCCAGGATTGGGGGTCGTTTGTTATTGCAGCGTGACCCAGCCGCCCTTTGACTAGTACACACCTCCAGAAAGCAAAACTGGGCTGGAGGTGAGCGGTGGTGTGCAGGACGTCTGTCTCTGAAGACCTGTTTCGTGTTCTTTCATGAGATGGTCAGTCTGGGGCTGCCGCAGAGGAGCATTGGTTTAAGTCATCTCTACACCCAGGGTGGGCCTCGAAGTCACCACCCCGAGATCAAGAGTCACATGGTCTACTGACTGAGCCGGCCAGGTGCCCAGAGGGGAGTTTCTTATACTCAAGGGTCCTAGAGACCCTTTCCTCATGGAAAAACACTGGGCTGGTTGGGAGGCGGAAGATGGGGTGGGTGCTTGGGCCATGGCCTTTATTGGGGTTTCCATGGGAAAGGCAAGACAGGGTAAGTGGGCAGTTTGGGATGGGCTAGTTTGAATGATTTCGGTGGGCTCTGCACTCTACGGGTGGTCTCCAGTTGCCTGATAACTGGCCCTGGGTTGATTAAGGAGAGGAATATTGCTTCCTGGGGCTCACGGGCCTGATAGAGGATCCAGGGCTCACGGGCCCTGGATCTAGAATACCAAATGCCCAAACCAACAGTCTGTGGTGCCTCGGGACCAGCAGGGCCCCGGGCGACGCTGGGTTGGCCCTTTGTTGGATCTTAGCACATTTGACCTGAGCGGCTGAGACTGCTTGTTGCCCACCCAATATCTACGTTCCCCTGGTTCCTTCATAACAGAACCCCAATATTACCTGGCAGCCCAGCCAACAGACTGCATTTCCCAGATCCCCACGCAGCTGTGTGGCTATGCAATTAAATCTTTGCCACCTGACTAAGTAGGTGGGCTTCCTGTAGGAGGCTGACTCAGCTGGAGATATGGTGTATGTTCTGCTCCCTCCTTCCTGCTGTCTGGACGGTAGCTGTCATATCTGCAGGGCCCACAGCCATCTTGGGTGGTGTAGGGGAGTACACAGTGAGTGTGAAAACTCTGAGCAGTGGGAAGACGTCGCATATAATGGATGCCTCATAAAGTATCCTATAATAAATGGACTCTCCACGAGGATGTGCCATGGGTCTCATGTGGTTTTGTGCCCGGCCAGAGAAGCCCTGCAGTATCAGCTAAGTTGCAGGGACCCTGAAAGCGGGTGTCTCTGGGTAGGTTGAGGGGACTCGACATTTTCTCCAGCCACAAAGGAGAGCAACTAGACACGTGGGGAAGCAGGGCTCTGAACATACATTCTAGGGCTTTCTTCACCTTCACTCTGCCCCAGTCCCATGGAACCCACGTACCCCCACCCTACAGCCTTCCCCGGGGCTACCTCTCTGCCAGGCAAATGTAATTAGAGGGAGGGGTTTTCCCGCCTGGCTTTCCATTCAGCCTTCGGAAGGGCGGCCAGGATGTGGGGCAGAGAGTGAGAGAAGCCCAGTGGGGAGAGACCCCCGACTGCACTGTGAGCCAGACAGGCACCCCAACCACACTCGGGTTTCCCATCTATAAAATGGGGCAGTAACACCGGCCCTACTCCCCTCTCAGGGTGCCGAGGGCTTATCCTCCTCTGAGCAAGGAGGCCTGCAGGAGGCAGGGGACAGGCAAGCTTGCAGTCTGGCTTTGTGGGCTCGTCTCAGTCACCGGAAGCACAAAGCAATGACATAGGTCCTGGCGCTCAGGTGGCCTGGCTCACGTGTCTGATGGACTTGGGCTCAATGGTGCAGCCCCCCACTCAGATGAGCCTGAGCTTTTTTTTTTTAAAGATTTTATTTATTTATTTGACAGGGAGAGACATAGCGAGAGAGGGAACACGAGCAGGGGGAGTGGAAGAGGAAGAAGCAGGCTCCTGGCTGAGCAGAGAGCCCGAGGCGGGGCTCAATCCCAGGACCCCGGGATCATGACCTGAGCCGAAGGCAGACGCTTAACGTCTGAGCCACCCAGGCGCCCCGAGCCTGAGCTTTTTCATTTGTAAACTGTAGCTAGGGATTGAAGCTGAAGGAGGCGAACCACTTAATGATGAGTGCTCAAGAAGCGCTGGGTCTTCCCCGCCCCTGATCTGCGTGGGCCTCTGCCATTTTCATTGGCTGCCCGGTGTTCAAACCCCTTTCGCATGTCAGGTGAACACCCCCACCTAATGGGATGCTTCCAATAGAGGAGCCCCAATGTACCAGCATGCTTTGCAGTGAGGCTCTCCCAGTCACAGCCCCCTGCACAGACCTTTGAAGGAATCCATGACCCAAGGAGGAGGGGGCACCCAGCCCCATTCTGGTGGTGCCTACCTCCAGTTTTGGGAGTCATCAGGGACAGAGGTCTGCAGGGACTGACCAAGTCTGGGTGTCAGCCGGACAGGTTGCCATGTCAGTGTCCCACGCAGGGGCTGAAGCCAGGAGAACTCCCAGCTGGGTTCTCTGACTCGTAGAATCCATCGGCTCCCCAGGGGTGTTCAGTAAGTTCCTTTCCTGCTTGCGTAACCCACAGTCAGTTTCTGTTGACTGCAACCACAAACCCCAGCTGACTCCCCTCCCCAGGCCCAAATGCAGACCCTCCCTTTCAGGCTGTTCTCTGAACCACTGACCTTCCCCTACCCCAAGTTGCTTGTGTGTTTAGTTGCTTTTTCTGTGCCCTTGGCCAAGAAGCTGGGCTTGAGTGACCAGCTTTTGCCAGGAAATTACAAAATTAGACCCAGGCCCAGAAGCAGGGTGGTACATTTACGAGAGTACACATTTGCAAGGGGAAAGCAAGCAGTTCTGGGTTCAAATCCCTGTCCTATGACTTAGCGCATGTGTGACCGTGGGCCCACAGCATACCTCTGGGCCTCAGTTTCCTTTTCTATTACAACACTCCAGCAGTTGTTTTTTTTTTCTTTTTTTTCTTTTTAAAGATTTTATTTATTTCTTTGACACAGAGAGAGAGAGAGAACAAGTAGGCAGAGAGGCAGGCAGAGGGAGAGGGAGAAACAGGCTCCCCCCCAAGCAGGGAGCCCGATGCAGGGCTCGATCCCAGGACCCTGGGGTCATGACCTGAGCCGAAGGCAGACGCTTAACCGACTGAGCCACCCAGGCGCCCCTCCAGCGGTTGTTTTTTGATATGTTTTGGGGTTTCAAGGAGATCAGGGATGGGAAGCCGCATGCTGTGTGCCCCATACCCAGCACATTGTTGGCATTGGATTGAGAAGAAACTGGGTCAGGAAGAAGGAACAAAGCAGTAATGCTCATGTAGTTTATGTCAGAATAGCCTGAGACGTACATCAAATGCAGATCCCCGGGCCCCTCTCCTAAAGTTGGATGTACCAAGGCTGAGGGGTCCCTGGGATCTGTATTTTTTTAATATTTTATTTTTTTAAGATTTTATTTATTTATTTGACAGAGACACAGTGAGAGAGGGAACACAAGTAGGGGGAGTGGGAGAAGGAGAAGCAGGCTTCCTACGGAGCAGGGAGCCCGATGCAGGGCTTGATCCCAGGACTCTGGGACCATGACCTGAGCTGAAGGCAGACACTTAACAACTGAGCCACCCAGGTGCCCCAATATTTTATTTTTTAAAGTAATCTTTATACCCAACGTGGGGCTCAAACTCACGACGCCAAGATTAAGAGTTGCCCCCCTCTGACTGAGCCAGCCAGGTGACCCTCTGATCTGTATTTTTAACACGCATGCCCACTAGAGGTCTGTGCTGCAGATGGCTGGGACCACCGCTCTTGGAAAAATATAGGATCCAATGGGGAGCAGAATGGAGGTGGTGAGGGCCCAGATGGCTGGGTCGACACAGTAGTGTGGTGTGGGGTCCCCAACATTAGCTTCACCCTCGCTAGAAGCTTCTACAGTAACCATGTCGGGGACAGTCCAACCCGGATTTATGTTCCAGAAAGGATGCAGCTAATTTCTGTATGTTTGATCTTTGACCACATTTACAACAGTAATGGATACATTTTTTTCTCACTTGGATAAGGCAATAATCCAGTAACGTGGATATTGTAAGTCCAAATCCAGTTAGCACTTCCCATGAGCCAGGCATTATGCAAGTACTTTTGTCTGTGCTAATAAATACAAAGTGAAATTATTCTCCCAGCTCTCAGGTGGGAAACTGAGGCCCAGAGAGGTAAAGTCACTTGCACTAGGCCACACGGCCCGAGTAGGGATTTGAGGGCAGGCAGGCTGGGATTCCACAGCCCATACGAAAAGCTGTGCCCCTTCAAGACATCACCATGGGGTATTGTGAGGGAGTTAGAGGCTGGGGCCTCAGGCAGGTGCCGAGCTCCCAGGAATGGGGCTGAAGTGTCGGGTGGGACTAAGTGGGGAGTGTGAGGAGTGTGGGACGTCAGCCCCCCAGATCTCTGACTCACTAGGGCCACTGGCTACTACCTGGAAGATCTCTGACTCAGCTGCTCGGGGATGGCAATGACTCTGAGCCCAGGCAGCTTTGTTCAGTTCACGGCCGAGGCCTGGCCTTATCACTCAGGCTGTGTGGCCTTGGGCAAGGTGCTTCGCTCTCCAAACCTGGGGCCCGCTGGGAAGAATGTGAGATCGGGTTATGCCCCGCGCCCAACACGCAGAGGGAGCTCGGTGAGCAGCCCAGCGGTCCTCATACAGTGAGTGGTAGGGGTGCAGTCGTGGCCACCTCACCTGGCTTGCACCGCACCCCTGGGGTCCACGCCGAGTACGCGCACACAGCTCGTGCTTCTCTCTGCCTGGCAACCATTCCCCCCATTTCCAGAAAGAGTGCTTGTGTTTTTGCTTGAACCAGATGACTTGTGTTTCTGTAACTTGCAGCCAGACTGACCCCACGAGAAGTCAGAAACTGGCATTTGC